TGATTGGTTTGCATCACGTTTCAGGAATTCCCGTATCCTGTATTTCGAATATTACACCTATATATTTGTGCTACTTTTAAATTTCAACAATATCAATAACAATAAGAACTTTTGGTTCACTTTTGAGCCTTCCTCAGAGACAATATAAACTAACGTATATAAACTGTGAATAAAAGTTATCCTGTCATGGTGAGTTCCCCTACATCGAGAATTTAAATGTCGGAATTAAAATCAAAAAGAGTGAAAGAAAAAGGAAAAAGAAAAAAGAAATTAGAAAATATCGAAAAATAGAATATGGAGAACTAATTTATCGAATAACTTGAAGATTATAATTAAAAGTGAATCGAAACATGTAAGCGCGTTTAATGAATAAAGAAGTTTCACATTTCTTTATTCACATAGGTGTATTATTTGCGCGACGTCTTCTGCGCCTGACTCCTAGTGCCCTTATTCTTTCTAATTCTTAAACTATATATAATTTTGCTCGTGTTCAGCTATGATATATTCCCAACACTTCGATGCATCATGCCGCTAACATAAGATAGTATTTGAAAACAGCAGATTTTAATTTACCACTTATCTGTGACGTCACACTTTGACAATTTTGATTGGTCGCATGCGTATAGCATATTCACGTGGACAGTGGTGGGATCTGGCAACACTGTCGAAAGTCGAAAGCACGTTATGCCTGTTTTAAGTTGTTACTTGTGCGTAGAGTACGTGTTTTGTACGAATATCACGAAGACTCATAGAAAGGATGGGTGATATATCACAGCCACAACGAATTATAATCCGCAATGCACAGCAGGATGAATCGAAAAGTCCTTCCTTTGTCACGAAACGCGACCGTATAGCGAAACAGTATCATATCATCAGAAGTTGGAAACCACGGAGCGATGTGTACATAACCGTATTACATTATTCTCTATTGAAAAGTCATATTTCTCTTTCGACAACACTTTAGACGATTTATTTCATCGTTTAGACCTGTTAGTGCGGGCACAAAGAATTGTACAAAAAAAATTTTCTTCACAGTAACACCTGGTAAAATAATAAATCCTTTAATCTAGATGGCCATTGATAGTTGGACGCGGTATTCTGATCGGCACGACGGTGATTACTAGTCTTTATTTGAATCACCGATTTAGAGCGAAGATGAAGATCCGAGATTACGGAATATTGCCTACAGTGTTAGGTCTCGCAGTATCGCCAGCTGCAGTGACAGCTGTAGTCCATACGGAGGTATTGACGGAAAAACCGATTAAATTCCTATACAGCATGATGTTCAAGGTTTTAAAGACATCTAGAAGACATCCCTATGTCCTCTCTCTATAGCTCTAGATGTATCCGAGTAGCGCAATTCTTTTATCTGAGCCAAATATTAATAACTTTCTCATTGGCTATTTTGACCACTATTTTTGACCTAGTCTATTGTCCCATAAGTAAATAATAAATAATACCCAGTAAGCGAGAATGGATTAAAATGAATTGAAATTTTAATCCATTTTAATTCATCCAAATGCGTACTTGGTTTATTTTTACTTTTTTTATATTCAATTGGATGGAAAAACTTTTTTTAGATATAATTGGATTGAAAAACTTTTTTCCTATTCAAGGTTTTAAATTGAGCAATATTCACGATGCATTTAAAGAACTGAAATTGTTTTTAATTAAAAGGCATAGAAATATGCTTTATGCAAATCCTATAAATAAATAAAAATGCATTGGGATTAAAAAGGATTTATTTCAATGTTTACAAATGCATACTTTCAAATATCTAAATTCATTTCAATCCATTTTTCTTTACAGAATAAGTAAGCTCAGTACAAGACTCAGTGAATAAACCTGAATAATCTAGATAGCCTAAATAAGCTTAGTAAATTTTTAATATGGTTATCAGGTTTCTCAATAGATGGGCCTTTGCATTACTCTGGTACACCTAGAGCTCTATTATGAATTTCTTAAGGACATTCTCAAAATGTCTCTTGAATAAAGTATGTTGTATGAGTTGGACCAATGACTCGAGCAAGGAATTTGATAATACAAAATACTATATATATCTTTCAGTTGGTCATGAATAAGCTATTATTATTAGAGATACCATGTCCTCTATGCATAGAGTCCATGTCCGCTTTTATGCAAACTTGTAGCGGAGTGTTTTTGCCACTGATACTTGTACCACTTGCAAATTTCTCAGTAAGTGACGAAATTTTGCTCTCTATTACTGTTTTTCACGATATTGATATTCTTTTGATTAGTTCTATTACATCTTATATTTGAATCATAGGTTACTGTTGGCAGTGGAGTATATAATGTGCCACACATAACTGACATAAGAGGAATATTTAGACGTACCCTATCAATTTATCAGCCGATATTTCCCAAGATTGCAATGATTTTCACTTTTCATGCGTTATTGGCTGGTTTTATAGCGTATTCAGAAATAAAATCTTACCTTCGAATGTTAGATATGCAGTATTTAATGGAAGAAGAAAAAGAGCAGAAATTAAAAAATAATATTCTTTGAATTTTTTATTATTGTATTATAGTATAATATTGTATATATAATTGTAGTAAAATATATATATATATATATATATATATAAAGTTGAAAAAATATTTATTGATATTTTTAGTCCATTCTATATTAGATCAATATTTAATATTATAAGGACAACAGAAAAATATAAAATGTATTTTGTAGAATATAAAATGTATTTTTATTTCATCGTTGACATAATATTATAAGATGTCTAGTTCATAATCATTCACTGATATTCACTATGCGTCTCGTACATATCTATTCCTTTTTTCAAAATTAATCCAATATCTAGGCACCATATGATTTGTTACAGTAATAAACGCTTTCCAACTGTTTAAAAAGATCGCTGCTTTAAATGTTGATAATACATACGACTTTTCTGATTTAAGAGAATTTTTCCATATAATGTTGACTCACTTATTTGATATAAAGTTTAACTTACTTAATATCGAGTCAAACGTATGTATTATTTCATATTAATGTTAAATATAATACGAATTTACTTATAGGCTCAAGTAAAATAGCAAATTCGATATTTTCAATTATTCCGATTAGATACATATTTCATCGTGGAAAAATCTGGAAGTATTTTACGCAAGCTTCCAATATTTAATAGATGGGAATTACGACCGAGGTCAAATTACGCTTATTCTTCTATTATGTTAAACGAACTACTTCAACGTCATATAATTAAATTTGGGAACTTCTTGAATTTCTACCCCAGCTTATACAAACAAAAATGTAGTATTCTTATTTCATATGCCTATATTATACATTTTTCTAGATATTTTAATTAGAAAAAAAAAAAAAGAAATCTTTCTTCATATAGTTTGGTTTCTAAAGTCAAATTGGGCACAGGTGACCACAGTTTTGATTTGCCAACTACTCTAGAGTTAAGTATATTACTGGCAGTTTACTGGACGTCATACAGGGGCCCGAGTAGCAAGGAGATCCCAGGAACTATGTGTATGCGATAAGAATATATAAAAGATAACACCAGATGCACACGCATCAATTCAACCAAAGTACAACAATATGATCCGTTTATTCTTTCGGTAGGAGTAGGATTTGTATAATACCTACAACAATGGTTATGTTGGCAGTGAATGAAATCAGCTATCATATAGCCGTGGAATCTAAGAAGCAAGACAGTTTAATATAAAATATGCCTGAACTTTCTCTCTTCTATTTATATGTGACAATGCTGTTTAACATACCACGCATTTAAGGTACATACACTGACAGATGTTTTCCAGATGTTTTTCATTTTCTGTGCCATTTCACGAAATGCACATTAGCCATAATTTACACAATTGCATCTATAGTACATACAATTGTATTTTTGCTCTTTTCCATATTACTTTTATCTATTTTTAAGTTGGAAAAGATTTTAGCTGAATGTCATTATAATGAACGAGTCATTACTATGATTTGCACAGCAATCAACATCACAATGAGATCGTCATTTTTGTTTTAATGTCTTACATCTATATATTATGTCTATACCTATTTTTTGTTAGCGGTGATGTAGTCCATTGCTTATTTACAGTAGAGGTCCCATTCTAGAGTTTATCTACCGATATAGATTAAAGCAAATCATAATAAAAGTTTTTAAAATTAGAAATTTTTTTTTGAAATTTGCATCAAGATAGAAATTTTAAAAAATTAGACAATTTTTAGAAATTATTATTATTAGTATAACGAACCCTTTGCTGTAATAAAACTTTGGACTATAATCAAAACATTTAAAACTTCATTGTAGAAATGGTATAAATATGTAACATTAAAAATTTATACGACATATCTACGTGTCACTTTTATGTTTCTTGTACAAGTCCATGTATGTTAATAAAAACAGATAAAAAAGATGAATGTCTATAAATAAATCAATATAAGATAGCATTTAATAACAGTAATGGGCTTTCTATAAAATAAACCACTATTTAAGTTTATTAAGCCTTAAGCCACACACAAGAAATTGACTAATCATAGCTGATTATTCTCCTCACATTTGACTGTGATTGGTCAATTTCTTATGGTTTAAGACTTAAAGTTTAGCTAATGACTTATTGTATAGAAAGCATATAAAGGTAGGAGCACAGATTTTGGCATAATGCATAAGGCATAAAAAAATCAATCAATGAGAATATTTTATTTCATTATTGAAAAGGAAAAAAATGAAGGATTTTGATTGGTTCATTTTTTCATGCATTATGCGTTATGTAAGACTCCATGCTCCCGCCATAAAAGAAAAATTTATACCATTGATACAAAAAAATTTTGTTCAGATGTTATAGTAGTTATTGTGTCAAATATTACGCAAATATGAATAATTAACGATTACGTTATCTTAGAAAGAAAATAACTTCTATGCGTTCTACATAATAGCGCATCTGTGCTGCTTTACAGAATATTCCAATTAAATATTTTTCCTTAATTATAAAAAAAAATTAAAATATTTTATTGTACTCACAAGTTTTTTGCTGATGATTTAAATCTGTAATGTAGACAGGCGACTATAATGAATTTGTGCATTATAGAATGAATGGACTAATATAGTGACAATTAATTATAAATAGTATTATGTATTCGGAAATTTTTTGTTACTCGTCACAAATACTAATATAAGTATCTAATGTTCTAGCATGATGGCATATTGGCAAAGCTACAATTGTATAGTATTTACATTATAACGATCAATGGCTAGTCATATATTCGACAGCAAACTGAACTTACATTGTTGCTCGCAAATAGATTTTCGTTTTCAGTTCAAATTTAACAATCATAAAATTGTACAATACGAGAACAAGAATCTACCATATACAAATGTTTCTATGCCGACAATATTATTTATGCTTACAACAAATATTTTGGAAGAACATTGCCACCATACTGAAGATTATATTTTCGCATTTCTTTTCACAGACGAATAAATCGCATAAGAATAACTAATAATGAAACAAAAAGAGACAATAAATGCTACAGTAAACAATCAAAATGTATAATCAATTCAAGTAACAGACGATACATAACAGCCGCCTTCAGTTGTATTCTCTTAAACATTTAATTCATTCCTTTGCATTACAAAAGTTTGTTAGGAATAACGATATAGCGTACTGAAGGATGCGGTATGCATAATTTCATCAGAATGGCGGATAGTTTTGCATAGGTACCACAACCGGAGGAATTGGTGGCAGCGGAAGTGTGTGTATAAATGTGGGGTGATTCGGCTGAACCATAACTAACGTATGCTGTTGATTGGCCATGAAAGAGTTATATTGAGTGGTACTGTATTGTGAGTAAGATGCATTAACTGTATCTGAAATATTTTTGTAACAAAATGTGCCGGGTGTTTGGCAAGGTAGGGGCCCCTGGATAGGACCCCAAGCCAGCTGCTAGCATCGCCGGTTATGCCAATGTGTCATGTAGTCTTGATAGCTTACAGTAATCTTCTCGCTCTGGTATCGCGTCAGTTTTACACTGCGTCTAATATCTGGTGTAACTAAGCCCTTGTAACCACCCTTATGTAATAGCGAGTCTATAGTTTGTATCTGGTCCCAACCTAATACAAAAAATGTGTCAATTTAGTGGAGACGAAAGCATACATTTAAGAAACATGATGATTAATGGAATAGTTCCACTAATAATCCACAGCACACGAATATATTTACAAACCTTGTTCAGTCGCAACATCAGGTAAGTAAGTAGCAGTTCTTTTGTTGCCTTTTTCATTATGGAACTCTATGCGAATCCCATGGACTCCTATTTCCCAATCTAAGTAATCCACGCCGTCTTCAAAATGCCGCAGTATAGAAACGCTTACATGTAAGCGTGGAAGTTCCTCTCGTGTTATAGGATTAAACCGCGAATCCTTGAAAGCACTATAAAACACAATTGATTGTTTAAAGTATAATCCAAAATTTTAGTCTAGCCAATTTAGGGTTGTTCCATCTTCGGATAAACTATGTAATTTACCTATGGATGAACAAAAGAACATAAAAGAATAACTATATGTTGAAGTTTACCGAAAGGTGGAACTATCCAGCCAGAGTAGGTATATATGTTACCTAGTAGTAGCATATTCCCTAAGTCCTGCATGTAAGTGCATGGCATTGAATGTACCAATACAGCCACGTAGTCGCATATCCTTTCCAATAGTCCATGTTACAAACAGGGGACTAGAAAGACATGAAAGAAAATACGTTAATGGAAAAATAATAACAGGACTTTAAAACTTAATTCACAGGACGTTAATTCTCTGTTATAAAAGAACATGTGCTATTAAATGAAATTCTCAATAATTTTAGTTACACAAGTACGAAACTGTTAAATAACCAGCTTCTTGAATCAATATTTAAATAATGTTCATACTACTATCTCTATGTAAACAGTTCGTGTAAACATCATTATAATAAAATGTATCGTACTAGTGTGATCAATAATAATCTCTTCTAAACAAAAGGAGTAAAACAGAGTAAAGTAGTGAAATATAGATGAATCATGGTACAAATCTCTATCTCTAAGATCTAAAATCTAAGGGACTAACTGAGGAAGTAAAGAGAAACAAATTCCAAAAAATGTTTACATTTATAGTAAATTATTCAAAAGCAAAACAATGCTGGTGTCTGGCATAACCTCACCGGAAGGTCAGCAGCAGAAGCCAGATGGAGTAAAAAATTGCAAAAAAATAAAATGCATCCTTCAAGAGACGTTTTCTTTGTATTTCGTCTCCACCTCTCTGCTCTTTACTCTGACGATGGTTGAAGACACAAAAGCACAGTAATGGTTTCAACAAAGAGATGCACTGGCGTGGGTGGAGGGAGAAGGACAGCCACGAAAAGGAAAAAAAAGGTGCCACGATGCAGAATGAGGCAAAAGAGGGACCTGGGGAGGCGGGGCAATGAAGGCGCGCATGAGAAAGGCAAGTGCAAGCGAGCGAGCGAGCGAGCGAGAGAGAGAGAGAGAGAGAGAGAGAGAGAGAGAGAGAGAGAGAGAGAGAGAGATGTGGCACGCGACGCATAGTTAGGACAGGGAGGAAGGGATACGTTGGAGACGCTGACTAGCTCAGTACGGTGGGTCTAAACTCACAATGCTTCGTTGCTGAAGTTGGGCGGTTTTGGTGGGTCAAGTTGGTGCAGTTGGCAGTAGAGGACGTCGAAGCAGTAGAAACCCATCTCGGGCTGCACGATCGGCGTATTACGTATACGCGTGCCGTTCGACAGCACCGCTGTGCCATTGCACGGTACGCCCGCGGAATTGTTGTTGAGCTTCTGCTTTTTCGTACCGCAACAACCAGCAGCCATTTTACCGTTTTAACCGTCGCCGTCGACTACTGCGGACCCGAGCTGCGGACACGAACGACCCGTATACGCGTCTATCGTCCGCTCGTCGCGGCCGCCGCCGTCGTCGTCGTCGCTGCCGCCGTTGTTCTCTTCGTTGCCTTAGCGTGCCGTGTCGCGCGCGCGCCCCACCAGATGGCGCGGCGCGCGTTAAAACAGCTGTTTCATCACCCGCCATTTTCGTCATCCTGTCGTTCTTTTCGCGCCCACATCTTTTAACGTGCAATACGATCGACCGACGTCGAAACGACGTTTGTTTACTCGTTCATCCGCGAGTCGTCATCGTACTTATTCTCAGAGTGGTCATCACATGCAAGGATCCTTGTGTAAAAATTTATTTATCACCTAGCTCTTCTTTTTTACAAAAGAAAACTAAACTTTAAATCATCACGAACTTGCCATTTTGAAATCGCAAAGCAGAATAAGAATAACGATTTTTTAACAATCGCTGCGTTTAGCAGAGAAAGCAACTTTGTAACTGTTATATTAATATGATTGATTTATACATTTAGATCCAGTGAGAAACTAAGGCTATCATATTGAAGAATTTTATTAAACAATTGTAGAACTGCTTTCTCTGTCGAAACACAGCCAATTTATAATTGCTTACAATTTTAATAATAAATTAATAATAAAATAATGAGATGTAATAAGTCAAATTAAAAAAACACTTTGTTGCCATACACATATATTCGCACAAACATGTGTAGTACATTACAAATTTCAACAAAAAAAAATCGGAAAAATAATATTTTCTGTTACTCTCAAAATATATCCAGAAAATATCAAATTTACAACTTATAAAACATAACAAAGCGATTTATTCATGTGACACCATTTATTATCATAAAGTAATTAATAATTTACTATAACATATTTGAGTATTTTTTTAATTTAAAATAATTTACTGTAAAGTACTTAAGTATTTTTTTATTTAAAATAATCTACATAACGTAAATTTTATACAAACACGATTATTTTTCAATTATTAGTTAGAGATTTATTTTAATATTTTCAACTTAAATATGTGTAATATATTTTTTAAACGTTCAATGTTTTTATTTGTCGAAATTTATCTTAAAAAAATCAGATACTTTCGTTACGTTTTAAGAGTCAAATAATAATCGTGATTCGAAAGCATGAAGGCAAATTATATAACATTTATAAAACAAATTTAAGCATAAAATCCCTCTTGTGGCCGAAAATGTCTTTTTTATTCCATGGTATACTTTAATTTTGTCAATAATTCAAATATTATATATTTATATTTTCATATTGTAGGTGCATTTTCAAATTTATTACTCATATGTTACGGTAATCAGATTTTAAATTTTTTAATAATAATTTAAAAATATGCGCAGAACACACGCAAAGTATTGTCCATCAGTTTAATCTATAGATCTAAAATTTAAAATCTGCTCTCTTTTGTCGTATATATGAATAATATATGAATAATAAACTTGAAAATATGTAAAAGTAGTATGAAAACATAAACATATAATATTTGAGTTATTAATAAAATGCAAATACAACATGGAATATAAAAGACATTTTCGTCCACGGAAGGAATTTAATTTAGCGTTACAGGTTACAGGTTTATATACAAGATTAGCGTTCTCGGCGAGTGAAAGCAACACAAGTCTCTAAGCGAATGTCTCAATTCGTATTTCCTCAACTTCTCCGCAACATTGTAAAGTCGTGCGATTACTTACCGCGACAGCTGCGAAGAGACGTGCCGACTGTTGAGCGTCGATTCCATCGCGCACCCCCGGTCGCATTTGCGAGGGTGGAAGCGACGATACCACGCAACTACGTCGCACATGGAGCGTAGCGTACGAACCGGCGTGAACGAACGCGAACGAACACATAGTCGTACGTCGTTGTTGGAATGACGCGCGATTCCTTTTGAACTGTTAATTTCTCGCACGAGACGGGACGAGCGGCATCGGGGAGAAAAACCGCGTATACAAACTGTCGAGAACTCCGTCTGAAACACAGCACGCGCAATATGTCGACGCCCGTGGCGACCGGGCGATCGCAGCGGTTTACGGGATTCACTGTCAATTTTCCCATACGAGGAACTGTCACGGCACGTAAATACGGCGATGACGTGCTCGCCGTGTGCGCGCTCCGTCTGCATGCATGAAAAACGCGTTCAACCGTGTAGGATTCGACGCCGCGGCCGATACGCGCGTCTACGACGCGACGCGACTCCGATCGGTCTGAGATAGTTCGATGCGAGTGCGTCGCGACGCCGGTTGCATCGCACTCGCGCGCGGTACTACGGCGCCATCTCACACAACCATGCCCCATTGCACAATAAAAAATTTATATATATAATGTATATCTACATATACATATATAGGGTGTCCCGGGAAGAAAGATTTATTTTCTAGATAGTATCTAGATAAGTTATTTTAAACGAAAATGTTCATACGTGTACACAAAAAATATTCTATTGCTGAGAAAAATAATTATTCAATTTATTTTCTTTCTTTTAATAACGGTTATTTTTAATAAATATTAATTTGAAAAAACTTATTAATATGTATTCAAAACAAGAATTTATTTCTTTTTAAGGATATAAAATTGATCGAAGAAGCGACTTTGTATAATGAGCAAATTGAATTTGTTTTAATTTAATGATTTTGATTGAAGTATTATATTAGGATTTAGAACATATTTTTAATAAATCTCTTATGCTTGTGATGAACTTCTTTATTGTAGATTTACGGATTTATAAACTTTTGAAATTATGAGCTTGAAATAAATAATTATTGTTCACGAACAATTATTGTGTATGTATTTTTTTGTAAGTGTCCTACTTCGAATGATTTCCAAGATAGTTTGAACAGTAAAAAATTTTTGAAAATTTATTACAAAGTTTAAAAAAGATATCTCTGAAGTAAAAATGTATTTAAAATAAATTACATGTATGCTCTCTAGTTTTGTTGTTGTTATCAAGCCACATATAAAAATCTACAATTAAATTACATTTATTATTATTCCGATATTTTTTAAAATCATTGGCGCTTCTTTTTATTTACAATTATGATGACAATGTTGATTTAAAAAGCGTGTCACTTGAGCAATTAATTATTAGAAAAAGTACGCGTCCATAACAGTAATTTTGCAATTGTACGTTCCGAACTCGGAAACCGTTCGGAACAGGACAAGCATTCATATGAACATTTTTACAATAATCGATAACATCATTATTCAGAATGACCTTTTTCCTAGGACACCCTGTATAAATAATAGGGGAATTGTAACATATTGTAAATGGAAATATAAAATAGGATTCACTTTTAGAGCCGATTCTATTTGAAAATCAAAATTTTATTCTGAATTCTAATTCAAATTATCTAAACTGTTGATGTGAATTTAAATACGAATTATAGATTATCTAAAGTGAGTTTTATGCCTAAATTCTAAGCAGAATCGTAAGGCTCGCAACATATTGCAAGAACTTCTTGTCAAGACTTGTAAGAATTTTTAAGTGCTTATACCTTTATACAATATCTTTACAGACAGCTTCTTACTATTACAATTATTGCTCATACAATTTACAAGAAATCTTAGATATTTACGAATAATTGTACGTTTTACGATACATACGCATAAATTTAGAGTACTAATCATAAGTTCTTAAAAGTTTTACGAGAATACTTTACGAGTTTTACGATTAGAATTAACCCATAAGTATCACTTGGTAACGTATAATTTATTTCGTATTTTAATGAAAATAGTGCGATGGAAAATTTGATTAAAAAATTGATGGTTTTTGTGCAATTAAGCGTATGGCAATATATTTTCTAATATTAATACATTAAATTTAGACCATATTAATGGATACATTGCGCAATTATCAATACTATCGGCTCACATCAGTGACCTGCCTAATGTAGCCTCTGTAACTGAGCAATTATATTTCGAAAACTACTGCTTGGAATCAAAAATTGCAAGAACTTCTATTTACTTTGTCGTGCCTGAAAATATTTTGATTTTCGCGAATTTTGGAACACTTATATACAATATATAACTTATAACAAAATGTTTTATATTATGTATAAATCTATATTTTTCAACTATGCTTTTTTACATTTATTGCATTTATTCAAAATAAGAATACGTTTCATTTCGCTGCATTTTTGTGATACTAAATATATATTAAAATTACATATTAAAATATATAAGTCATGAAAAGCGTTTCGAACAGAGAAAGAGATAAGGAATAATACGGAAAAAATTGATTACAATGATCTTTATGACAATATAAAAGTTTATTTCACCTTTCCATTGCAATAAGAATTCTATAGTACCTTGATGTAATTTTTATATGAATTCTACTAATTTCTTAATTTAAGGAGGTGAGAATAGAAGGGAGAGTGAGAGAGAGGAAGAGGTGTGGGGGGGGGGGGGGGGAGAAAAAGAGAACGAGTTACATTCGCTGTGTCTGACTTATGAATAAATAAAGAATAATCTATAGGTTCGCTGTATTATTAATTTACAAATGCAATCAAAGTGAGCGTACATTTGCTTGATATCGTATTAATATTATATTGATATCAGTTATGATGCCAAGTACGATAATAAATATTAATCTGACAAGTATGGTTTACTTTGGAAATTATTAATAATTTTCGTCGTGTAATTTCATATTATAATAATTATCGAGTATTAATTATCGAGAGAAAGATTAAAAGTATAAACTATACATGTGAGATACTTACTCTATGCAATTACAAAATGCGTACATCGAACAGATTTTTGTGGCAGTTTGATAAAATACAGAATGATTTCATTCAGTAAAATTCGTATGATAATTATCGATCTTAAATGTGTTCAATACGATTATATATATTTAATTGAATTGCGATAACATCAATGACTTACTTTTTTAGTAAGTGAGTTTTCTTTTTGTATTTTCGTAAACTCTTCGACAAACACGAATACAATTTACTTGTATATCGCAAAATATAATTACACAACGCTAGATAGAATTAATTTCGTATTCACTGATGAAAATGTATCATTCATACGTATAAACCGTAATAAATGTCTACTACACAAATGGAGTTCCATAGATAGATCAAATGAGCACACATGAATCGACAGTATGTGGCAGTTCGTTGGACGTTTCTTATGCCAAGATTCACAGAAGGCAAGACTTTAGGAACTCGCTATAATTATTATCGATGCAAACATTTTACGTAAATAATAATAACGCATACTATAACGGATAAACACGGAGAATAACACATACTACAACAAAGATAAGATATAATAACAATTATTTTATTTATTTAACGAATATTGCATTAGTATATAAAAGACATAACACAAAGACGATTAAATTGGCAGTGTTTAAAGCCCGCTACTGAGAATAGCTGGCAATTCAAGGGAAGTAGAATTAACGTCGAAAAATCAGTAATTCATTTTTGTATCGTAGGATTGGAAAATTAAAATTTGTAAAATAAGCATTAATAGATGCACGGCATAAGATACTGCAAGTAGTGCAACTATCATGAAATTACAATAACTTATCAATCGAATAACACAAACTCACAATGAGATCTTTTATATATTTTTTCTTTTATGTCTAACTTACATGTCTAATATTTATATCTTTTACTACGTACGATTTCTTTTCATACTTTAATAACTAAATCACAATTAACCACAGAAAATTTATTCTGTCAAACTTACTGTCTTTTTGACGCGATTAAATGCATAACGGATGTATTTTAACAAGATCCTTTTTTTCTAATGCAATTAATGCATAGTTTATGTTCTATATTGCATATTCTATACCAATAAATAACATTAACAGAAAGAAATTATATTCTTACAAATTTTACTAATTTTCACTTGACGTATAAGAATTATATTATATGTCATATACATTGTACAAAAAATGGAATAATTCCAACATCATTTTGTACATTATATCATGTGAAAACAGGCAGTGAATTTTAGGCGTGATCACTGTCTTATAAAAATGTTCATTACCATTCTTAAATTGTATTATCGATGCAAATACAAACAGATTTTTTACAATATGGTGGCAAAGTTAATTGTCATAATGAAAAGGGAATTAAATAAATTTATGCAAAAAATAAAATAAATAATATAGCTACTAAATAATTGAACCAGTAATATAACCAAGCCTTTTCATTATTTATCAATAAATCTCCGAAATCGTAAAATTTGAAGAAATTGTTTTTTAATTCTAAAGTATTTGGCAAACATACACATCAATGTAAATATAATATTTAATAGTTTAAAATTTTTTAAGTCACTATTTGTTTTTAATACAAATATGCAACAATTAGACAATGCCATCATATATGATTTATTATTAATCTCAAGACGGAGCATGCGGTACCATAAATGGGAGGCTGTGTACACTAAGACATAGAAAGACGCACCACTTTAAACAGTGGAAAATTGTAAGAAGGATCCGCCTCCAATGTCATTTTCGTTTACGTACCCCACGCTCCGTAACATTCTGCGTTAAGAAGCGATGCGGTGGTCGAGGATAAAGCGGCGCAGACGGATAGGACGGACCCGCATTATCCCACCAAATGGGAGGATTGTTACGTATCGGTATCATAACTGGAGTAATCGGAGGTAAGGGTAATGGATGTATGAACGTCGAGCGATTCGGTTGCGTGATAATCTGTAAACACTGTTGGCCAGACACGAAAGAATTGTATCGAGCACTATCGTTTTGCAGATGAGGCGAATTGACCATATGAGTGTTGTTATAACGAGTCTCAGCGGATCGTTGGAGCAGGGATCCCTGGCTGGGACCCCAGGCGATCTGCTAGCATCTTCGATTGTGACAATGCGTCATGTAATCCTGATAGCTCACGGTGACCTCCTCGCTTTGATAGCGAGTCAGTTTCAGGCTACGACGGATATCGGGTGTGACTAGGCCTTTGAAGCCACCTTTATGTAGCAGAGAATCTATCGTTTGAATCTGGTCCCATCCTGAATATCAGATTATAGATTATTCCTCACAAAGACCTCCTTGTGGGAGTTTCCATTGCTTGACCTATTCTACGGCCGCAAATACGCACCTTGCTCCATAGCTACGCTGGGCAGGTAAGTAGCCGTCCGTTTATTACCCTTCTCATTGTGGAATTCTATGCGAATTCCGTGCACACCCACTTCCCAATCTAAGTAGTCAACCCCGTCTTCAAAATGCCGCAAAATTGACACGCTTACATGCAAGCGCGGTAGCTCGTCTCGAGTTATGGGATTGAATCGAGAGTCTTTGAATGCGCTTTAAAACATATAGAAACATGTATCAAAAGCACGTGCAAACTATTATGCTAAAGCCTAATCTACAATGTGTTCTTTGCTTCCTGTTGCTTATTTTTTACTTGCCTTTTTTCTTCTTTACAATCGTTTTGTCAACAATCGCGTCTCTTTTCACGTATTTCTCGTCTGTTCCGAAGTTTGGCAACTTTTACCTCAAGCGACAGAAAACGGAGAAACTAGGTAAGAGGCAAAAAGACAAGAAGTAAAATGTGGTAAAAAGCAAGAAATAGGAAACAAAGACACACTGCAGATTGGGCTTTAATGTTACAATTATTTACATAAACTATGTTCTAAATCCTACATTATGCGTTTATATATATATGTATATATATATATAAAATTTATTAATATATATATTGATATATATATAT